CGACCGATGCCCAAAGATCGATAAGACTGACAAAGGGGGATATCCCTCTTATATGATTTCCCAGGCTGAGGCTTTATCCCTACGAACTGAGGGATAAAGGTGTAACCTTTCGGAAATGTTCGCATGGGCTGCCATCATCACTTTAAAAAACTTTTTCGGAAAACAGTACCTTTTCATGGAAAAAGTGCTCTTTCCCTGTAAAAGAATCCGAAAAAATAAAATATCTAGAAAAATTTTTTATATATAGGGCTGGTGGTATATTAATAAATAAATGAACCAATGATTTTAAATTATTTTATCATGAAGGCGCAAACAATCTCTGTGAGAAAACCGAACCATACACAAGGACACAACAAAAGTTGCACTACAATGCCATCTGTAGGAACATGTGGTTACCTACCTTAGATTTTTAACCAAATAACAAGGGAGTCACTTGCATAGGATAATTTTATTAACATATTGAACCCAATTAATAGATTTTTGGAAATGATTTTCAAGGATGGAAAAGTTTTTTGAGTTAAAGCAGCAATTTTTCTCTATCCATGTGATTCTTTAATTTCAGTTACCATTAAAGGAAAAAATTGAGTCCTTTTATCAAACAATTGTTTGAAATCCTTCTGCAGATTTTAACACCAAATATTTTTGATTAATTAGATTATCTCTGGATTCTGTTAAATTAATTATTTTATCAATTTTGATTTGTATTGTAGGTTTTATAGTGAATTACAAAAAAAAAAATTCAGTGAAGGTAAACAATTTTGTTAATTGGGGGTCTTTTTAAAGAAAAAAGTTATGGATGTTTGCAGTTTTTTTGACATTGATAAAATATTGATTTTTGATTTCTGGTTTTTGTAAAATATAAACAAGTTATTGAGGTGTAACATAAATGTGCAGACTTTAATAACTGAATCTTAAAAACGTTTATAACTTTGGGAGCAAAAAAAAAACTAGAAATGGCTTAAAGAATTGGAAAACAAAGTATTTGAAAACGATTTAGAATAAATTGAAATTAAATAGTCAAAATAAATTCAACACTAGATCTAAAGTTCTGGATATAGAAGACAAATGAAGGAAACCATGGATTATAACTGTCAATAATATCAATGTAGGGTTGTTAATGGAACATAATGGGTTGGGTTCATATTATTGTGGAGCAAGGTTTAACACAACACAACCCGGGTTAAATGTACTGGGTTAATACTCCATGGGTTGCTCCGTGTTGCTCCGTGGAGTAATAATTATTATAATTCTCATTTAAAAAAAAATTATACCGATTTTTAAATTATAATAATTTTAAAACTTGCATAATAATATCAAATATAATATATTTTGGTTCCAAATTTAATTTCCTTTTATTAAATGTTTAAAAATTGAATAATAATTGTAAAAAAATAAAATTTTACTTGAATTAAATTTTCAAAAAATAAACTTAGTTTTTACCGCTCTTCCCCCGACCACCACCCGACCACCACCCCTACGAAAATAGGTCTTTATTATTATATATTTTTTATCACATAAATAATCGTAAACACTCTGCGTAAATAATTATAATAATAAACAAAAATAAACATTCGTTATTATTAAATTCGATCACTATTAAATATAGATTTACGTACTACCGATTAAAATAAATGATTAGATTAGATATTAGAAATATTTAATTGATTAATAATCAAATTACTAAAATAATTTGGAGCAA